CCGACAGAATATCATGATCAGATTCTCGTTACGCGTGGCAACGCTGAGCTTCCCTCCGCCTCCATTTTCTTCCGAATAACCCGTAACGCGCCACTGTGTTCGACTGCAGGAGATAGAATCGACATCCACGGAAATTGGTAGGAGATACACCACGATGAGAAAAATATTTCTATATCGGATTAATGCGTCTACAAGATACCGTTCGTAGATTCTGCTGCATGTTTCCCTCTCCATTTTCTTTCGCTCACGGCGCCATGTTCTTGTCCCGTAACCGGTACTCCGCTTCCGCTCGCGTTCCAGTTCCACGATTCCCCCCTGTTCGCACCCTCCGCTCGTGGAGTTCGCCGATCTGAGATTCGGAAGCGAGAGTACGACCGCGACGGAAACGCCTCGGTCCGCCATTGTGATCTTCGACTGACGTCGCGACGATGACATCCGCGAAACAACGCGGTCGGGAAAGGAAGAAACTTCCCGTTTCCATATAATAAACACGTAAATAAGATAACTGCAGTACGCCTCTATAACGCCGACAAGCGATGTACCGAAGTGGAAGGAACACGAGAGGAATATCGTATCCTTGGTGCGTGCTCGACGCGACCACCGACGCGAGACGAAATTCGAAACACGCGAATTGACACGAACGCGATCGCTCTTCGACCCGTGTGCGAGAACCTATTCGATTTTAGAAGTTCCGCGCTCTTTTGGCAGTCCTGGCTCCCATCCCTCGTGCGGCCGATTGCTCCCGGAAGTGCACCGGGAACCGAGGTGCCCCCCTCGAACGCGCCATCGTTGCACGTTCATTGTACGTTTATCATCTCTTATCGAGCGAAACGATAGATTGTGTGTGCGCTTAGACGTACGTGCCTTCGTCCGAGGGGGTGGTTTTCCACGGCCAACGGCCACGAACAACGATCTTAATTGTATCGACGATGGCGACCGTTCTGTACGCTCGTCGCAAGCAATTTCCAGCGGGGATTCCATTTTCGCGCGCGTAGAGACGTACAGAAGAATCGCGCGTGCGAGACTCGACGAGGTTTACGTTGTTAGCTAACGTTGAATCGTTTGAACAGGAGAAGCACCACGAATTCTAATCTACGCCATTGCATTACTTTTTCCTGCTTTTATTTCCTTTGTTTTTTTTTTCGTGTTTTTCTTCTTGCGTTTTTTTCTTTTTTTCTTTATTTTCTTATTTTTCCGTTACGACAAGAGGTACCGTCTCGTTTCGACTCGAGTTCGCCGGGACAGGGATTGAATAACTCGATTCGCTGGAAAATCGACGCGCAGCGCGTTTGTGGATGACGCGTAATTTCTGGGAGCGCGATACGGTTATCCGTGTCCGAATCGGCGACACGTTGATTTCGGTTATCGTTCGCGTGGCATTAATTTTACGGCGAAATTAGTCGCGGTTTTACGAATTCCGTGGCATGGGGGGATAAATCGGTAATCCCTTGAGCGCCGATGACGTTTCGTCCTGCGTACGCGCCGCTCGAGATTACAGCGATCGATAGGGTAAACAGCGTGGATCACCGGGAAATTCGTGGATAATTCCGTAGAGCACCGGCGTCGGTGCACGTGCGAAAAGTCAAAGTTCACGCGGCGCCCGGAGGCTGTTGTAACACCGTGCGACAGGTAGCGAGATTGTTGTAAACCGAGATGCTAATTTTGTCGCGAATTAACGTATCGATCCGTGAATCAGCTGTTGAACATCCTTTGGGAGAATTGCGTTACGGTTGTAGAAAAAGGATCGACAGGCCTGCGCTAATCGCTCGACACGTTGCGTGTCCTGGGAATCGACGGTGAGATTTTCATCGTGTGGAAACAGAAACTCGTTTCGATCGAGCTGTTCGTCTCTCTAACAGAGTATCGAGAGTTTCCATCTATCATTCGTCTATAAAACTATATTTTCTTACAAATTTTCCACCTTCCTCCTGTTCCTACCCTTCGCGTGACAGGAAACGCGTTGACCGCGCGGACAGAAGTAATTCGCAGTGGAGCGGGAAGATCAGAGACAATTCTGAATCCGAATTACTGTAAAACGTGAAACACGAATCTCTTACATTTCATGCTTGCGAGACGACGATGGTTATATACAGTAAGGAGTAACGCTTTACGTGTTCTTAAAGACTATCGTGCATCCACCTCTTCCCATTAAACCTCGATCCAATTACGATCCATTTGCAATGCCTGTCTTTAAATTGCTCCGTTTAAAATAATCCCGATCATTCGAGGACCTGCGATAATGAACGAAAAGGCAACGGAAAGTGGAATAAAATAATTTTTGACAGAGGAATTTGAAGACAGCCACCGAATGGATCCACGATCGTCACCGATCATCGTCCAGTATTTACATCTAAAATCACATCCTCGGTCGCTTCCTCGGAGGTTAACAGAGTGCACGAACTCGCAGTGGGAACTCTTAAGTACTATAGGTCGGCGACAAAGATGGCCGCCGTTCTAGATTACACCGAGTAAGTCGGAACGCTGTTCTACGAAGACGTGTCAACGCTATTATAGCGGTATTAACGCTAATATGTAGTCTACGACACACTTTATCTCGCGTTTCATTCACTTTACAACACCGACTTAGTGCTACTTTCTGCTTTTGTATGTCGCGAGGACAGCCTAGGTTCGTCTCGAGCGCCTAGAGCGCCCCCGTTACTTAATTACAGAGTCCTCCGCTATCGTCTAACACGGTACGTCGAGTGGCTCGATAGCTTTGCACGATTAATTATTGTAATTGCCACGTGGGTTACGATTACGGCTAGCGAAGACGATTTCGTTCCTCGTCGGACGAGCATACTTCCAATATGGCGGTCGGGTAACGGGCTCGAAGCGATTCGCGTAGAAAAGATTCACGCTTCGAGTGTCGAATCAACGCAAGTGTTCCTCGCGCGTTTCGATTTTCCGGACATCGTTCGACAGTTGTCTCGTTGGATGAGGAAAAAGAGGGTTTCGCACGGTGATGTCGCTCTCCACTTTTCGCAGAAATTTCGCTTTCCATTTCGATCGATCGCGATCTCGAAATTTTCTATCTCGTGGAGGACGACCGGCGGATTGAATCGACAGGATGACTAGGATGAACTACGATTTTCGCGGATATTAAACGTTCCCATCGAGAAAAACGACTCTCCGACCGGAAAACACGCTTTTCCCGATTCTTCGGCGAGAAAAGCGAAGAAACACGCTGCAAACGAAATTGTTGCGAACGATGACGATCGAATTACCGGGTATTTGTAGTGAACACAGTGTTTGCTTTCGTGCTTCGTTAGTCGATGAAAGAGAGCAGACGATGAACGCGGACTCGAGTTCCGTTTCGAAACGAGCGTCGAGGACCGTCCCTGCGGGTTTCGTCCAACGAAGCTGCGGATTCCGCTTCGGGACTCGAAAACCCTTCTGACTCGTGCTACGCTGCTAGCTGTCGTGCTTTCGCGGGAAAACGAAATGATCGAGTCGAAGGCGTCCGGGCGCGACAGAATGGAAATCATCATAGACCAGAAGCGTCTCGCGACGGTCTCGCGATGAATCCAGTCCGTTTCGAAACGAGCGTCGAGGACCGTCCCTGCGGGTTTCGTCCAACGAAGCTGCGGATTCCGTGCTTTCGCGGGAAAACGAAATGATCGAGTCGAAGGCGTCCGGGCACGACAGAATGGAAATCATCATAGACCAGAAGCGTCTCGTGACGGTCTCGCGATGAATCCAACATCGTGATTTGACACGGAAAATTGAAACGGTCGAACGCAACGGTGCACGAAAGCGTGCGTTGCATCCGCGATACGAACGTCAGGTGATCCAACAACGGGACGACTAGTACCGTTCGAATTTCGCGCCACGTTTGTACAAGCCTGGTAACATCTCGTACGCGATAGAAATGAGGACGCGGGTAAAAGCTGTAGAAAAAATAGAACTCTATGAGAGATCGCCTGAGAGAAGAACGGTGAAACCAAGGAACGAACGATCTACCATGCCTATGAAAAATTAGGCCTACGCGATCATTATGCCTGTTTCGAGTCTTCCCGAAGTCGTTGCATCTCCCTTCGTTTAGTCGCTAATTAGAGCTACGCACGTTGCTACGAACGAATTCTACACACTTACGAGATTACAGAGAACCAAATAGTCGAAGGCGAGCAAGATAGAGCAGCTTGCTTGGAGAAGGACGCGGAGGAACCGCGTTGTCTCCGTTTATTCCGGAGCGGAGGGCCTGGACCAGCCAGGAGGGACGAAGGCAATGCGAAATATCTCGTTCACGGTTCACGGAAAGAATCGCTCGGTGTCTCGGGCTAGACGTCGAGGACGCGAGTGAAGCTTTTCACGGATCGTGGAATCGATCGTGGGCAAATTTCGTTCACGAAATTTCGATTGTACCAAGCGTGAGCTGGACTTAACGCGTTCACGCCGGCGCTGATTTTTGCGTTGTGAGACTTCGCGCGTATTCATGTATAGCTTTAAGACTGGAACGTGAGCCACCGGTGGTATACACCGGCGTGAACGTGTTAAACCATCGGCTAAGATGATCCAGCCAAGATAGTGTCTCCAGCCGTTTCCTCCTCGTCCGTGGGAGCCTCGAGAGCTTCTCCCGACCGTTCGTCGAAGCAAGTCACCTACGAACATCCGCGGGTAAACGAAGAAACGTCCGTTCACAAGCGCTTCGAGCCCTGAAATCATCTACTCGCGCGATCGAGACGATACTGTCTCGAAGATTTGCACGAAGAACGCGGAACCACATGGCCTCGCGAAGCGTCCCTCGAGCATCGTCTCGAGACGACCGCGTGGAACACGCCGGCGGTAGTTGTAGAAACGCGTGGAACCCTAGCAAACCCTCGAAAACGTCGTAACGTCGAGGGAGCTCGAAAGTTACCGACGTTCCACGAGATTTTTCGCGAGAGAATCGTCCACGTGCTGGCCGTGTGTTCGCGGTTCCTCGAGACTTTCCACGACTATCCCTTCGAGAGCCAGCGCAGCTCCCTGGAAGAAACTCGGGGAAAAACCTGGCGACTTCCGGCCGTCTGGGAAGTTCCTACCCACGCGATCGAGCCTTCGAAATTCCGGACGCGAGGCGAACTTTTGAGATCCCTCTCCGACGTCCGGAGATTCTCGTTTCGTGGAAAAAGAAGTCGAGGGAGAAGTTACGCTTAATTATCGGTCGTTCCACGGCGCTCGCGAAACTTTTCGCGTTCTAATTCTACCCGGACACGACGAGGAGGAAGAGGAAGACGAGAGGGAACGACGGAGGGACAGGACGAGGGACGAGATCGATTATACCAATGTCGATCGCAGGATTTCGTCGCCGGAACTTCGACGGACTTCGTTGCAACCACGGTGAGATTCTTGCCTTGCCGAACGGCCGCGAAAAGAGACGGTGCCTCGAATACGACTTCGCCGAATCCATGGAACGCTCTTATCCGTCCCCGTTTCGTGTCCTGATCCTCTCACCGCCTTACATCAGGCGGCACAAGGCTATCCCGTTCTCGATCGCGCTCTGCAGCACGGTCGTCTCCATGCAGAACGCTCCGTCCTCGTACATCGTCGCGATTCTTTGCTGCTGCACGCGGCTCTCGCTCTGGGATCTGAAAATTTCCAGTACAGTTAATTACTGTAATTACCGGAGTCACGTGTTGCGCGCAACGCGCCCGTAATCGTCTCGTCGAGAGAAATCTCGTGATATTCTTTCAACGAGTGTCCGTCTGGGGGTAGGGAACTCTACGTTAACGCGTTCGACAGGTTTATCCGGAATATCAATTGTGCAAGGGATCGAGGATTTCGCCTAGATCTCTTTCCAAGCGGAGGATTTTAGGGATAATTGAATAACTTCGAAAACGAGGAACGGCATTATAACTTGCAACCCGCGTCGCGAGATTAACTCCAGATTAAACTGGGACCTCGTTCCCAGACTGTCAAGTCCCTCGAGTTAACTTGGAATAATTACGGAAGAATCCGATAAAAAAACCGATAACAAAATTCATGGAAGGGTATTTTAAACACGCGGTGTCGATACGTATGCAAAAGCGTATGAGAAACATAAACGAAAAAGCACGGGGAACATGTGTCAGCCTAGATCCTGTCACGATCGATTCTGTCGGGGTTAAATCGCAAGGAACGTCGAGTCTAGGGGCTCGTGGTGGAATCAAGTTCTGTCGCTAAGATTCCCCAGGGTACAGTGGACACGTGGCCGGCCGGAACCACCGTCTGAATTATTTCGCGATTTCCTTCCGGCTCAGTGAAACGCGCGTCCCTCTCGCTCGACTGCAAAAACTCACCTGGGAGGCATAGCTCGCGAGCGTTGCTGCGCCCTGACCTCCCTGGAGCCTTGCTGGTTGGAAAGGTAGCTGCTGTCTCTCAAAACGGTCGCCTGATGGTGATGATGGTGGCCGATAGACCTATCGTTGTTCTGAGAAAGCGACAACTGCGCCAGATACTGTCTGAGTTCCGGCTGACTGGCGAGCAGTTCGCGACGCGTTTGGACGCTCGGCGTCGTGGGCGTCGATGTTGTTGTTGACGAATCCGACCATGGCGGTGGTGGTGTATGGGATCGCGATATCATGGCGCTCTCGTGGCACAGGTATTCATCGTAGGTAGGTGGCAAACCGGTCTGAAACACCACAAGTTCGGTAGATTTCTTTTATTGCATTTTTAATTCGTTTTTTCCGACCATTTCTTCACATTTTTCTTTTCTTTTCCTTTTTTTTTTTTTGTTTCCTGACGAAAATTAGTGATTTTCACAATCTCGAAGCTAAGTACTTCGTAATTTTAGGTTGATTGTCGAAGGGAATTATTCGTTGACGAAGTATGAACGGGAAGAGAGTTCTGACATTAATTATTTTGTATTGTTTCCACGTAATTGGGTGAATCCCTGTCGTGAAGAGTTAAGGGCAGAGAGGGTGTGGAAGTTGCATTGAAATGCAGTTGAAACGCAACGTACGACCATTGAGACAATGATAACACGTATAATTTTGCAATCTGGAAAATTAGTGGAGGAGTCTCCTCCTCTATGAAGGACTTCTGTTGGAGAAAGTTCGACGGAGAAATGTTTTGTTCCCATCCCTCGAAACACTTCACAGAAGCTCTGTTTTCCTCCCATCGGGGCTTTTCATCGCGATATGTAGAGAGAGTTCGAAGAATAGTATAACATGAAAGTTGTTTCGTAATATTTCGGGGTACTATTTCAAATTACACGAGCGAATACGCGTGGAAAGTAATTTTCAACTTGACCTAAGGTATATTATAATTTTCCGAGTAGAATTCCAAGATTCGAAGAAATGCATGATACCCCTGGTACTTATTGGAGGAAGAAAAATCGAAGAAAAACCCGAGGGTAATTCCGAGAATCGAACTCGGGTCAAACGGGTATGAGCAGGAGGGTCTACTCAATGAGCTATTCAACCACGTTGATTCTACCTTTTTCGTTAAGTTATATGTACCTCTCAAAGGTACTTTAATAGAAATTCTTGCTTTGTCGTAATATTTAACACAATTCTACTCTATTTTTTATCCTTTTTACTCGATAAATAAATTGGAGAAAAATTGTTCCGTAATAATAAACTTGATTCACAGCAAATATTTGAAGAATTTCTTCGATTCTATCCAACAAGTGTCTCTGATTACATCGATTCTTTTTTACTCGAAATATCTTCGTACAAATATCTCGATAAATCTTTCATAAATATTATAGAGGAGAACTATAGAATTTTTCGTATCGTTGGTTGATTCGGTTGGGAAACGGAAGAGGGATGAATTGGATGGACTGGAAGCGAAGAAATCAAGTTGACTGGGACCAGTGTCGGTCGATAAAACGTCGTTAGAATTCAGTAAAACTGGAAGTGTCTTGGCGTGGTTTCCGGGACGTTCAAGTGGGTCGCCATCGAGGGTGGCAGTGTTTTTCGCAGGGGGGTGAGAAATTTTGAAAAGCCGGCCAAAAGTCAATTCTTCAATTTTTCAATCTTACACGTGTACTCCACAAGCATGAAATTTAATTTTCCACATGAAACTTCATCCCAGTTCCCGACTGGAAATCTGATATTTGTTCCATCAGAGATAATTAAGTCTTTCGCTTTCTTACTTATGACTTGGAATTCGCAATCAGCGACTCCCAAAAGTCCAAAGACACGAATTTTTATACAAATCAAAGAATGTCTTCATATTTTGGCCAGCTTCTCGAGGAAAATTTATGCGTCACCCGGTGCCGCAGAACTATGCGACCGAAATGGTTGGTCGGTAACTGAATGGTCCTCGAGTTAGAGGAGCACCTCGAAGAACTTCCCCGTTGTTCATCCATTCGACCCCTTTTTTCCTGCATTTTCTCCACCCTCCTTCCTCGGACAACGTAACCGTGATCGCCCCGCACGATCGTTAGAAGGATCTCTTTGCTCTTTTACGCTCGACAGTTCAGTATCCTGACTGTGTTAAGCTTCGTTCGCGACAGAAAGAGAAGGGTTTATTATTCGAATAATCGAATATTCAGCAAACGGGACTCGAGTCTAGCGGAGTGGATAGAGCGTTTTGAATATTCAAGCATTAATTTTACTGTTACCGGATTACACACGCACACCGACGTCGCGTCGATACCCCGTCACGGGATTAAAGTTCGAGCTTTTTCGATTCACCGGCGAACATCGTCCTCGAGGATTCGGATCGTAAATCACTGTGGCGCGGTCTCGTTCTGCCTTCGAGTCTCTCTTTACACGTCGATTAATGATTCCGAAGGGCGACCGAATGCGGAGATTATTCGGGAAAAACGGGGAGAAAAAATGTCGGCGAGCAATCATCGAGGAATTAGGGCGGCTTCGAGATAGCCGGAGCATCGATTTTATGGATTGCACCGGTCTGCGGTTCTTTTAATTCCGTACACCCGACTACGGTCCATCGATGAGGATGGCCTGGTTTCTTGAATTTCGTTGATCGCCGATTCAACCCCCGAAATATTCCTTCCCCACCAGGACTCCCGACCGAGGCTTCCGTTTTCCAGGTTTCCTCGTGCCTAATTAGCAGCCGGGACGCGTAATTAGCGGGAACGTCGGTTCGTTTACAGCCGATCTCTGAATTCAACCGGTCGATGTCGATTCGCCGTCTAACAACTCGGACCTTTGCTACTGTGTCTGATACACTGAATTGCGATCCGGTATCCGCACAGAGTAGCTAGTTAAATCCTCGTCGTCCCGTTTGAGCCGTAAATAGCTCCTAATTTCGTCGTGACATCGGTACATCCGTTCGCTAGCAATTTCCTCGCACACGCTCTGGTCACAGTGGACCGCCACCATTTTGTCGTCTCGTGGCGCCACGAACGACGCGTGCCTGCGAGAAAGAAGCGACAAACGCGCGTTATTATTAAAAATCTGTGATGAAAAGTATCGAACGATCACGTTCGCAGGGCTGAGAAGCTGGACTTCGAGAAGCTTTAACTTCGACGAAGTTAAATGTTAGGATTATAGGTGCCGAGTGAAGTCGGTACGATAATGTCTCTTCGTCTGGGCTTTGATCGTCGACGATTGTCCTTTGTCACGAGAGCTTATTACGCAAGAAATAAGGATCCATTTGCGTGACAATACGACCCTTATCTTCGCGTCGATGGTTTGATCGATGACGTCGCCATTGATCTCTGCCATTCGCGCGAAATTCTGCTGCTTAGTGGTACTTAGCTCGTGCTGGCTGTTCCATTCTGCGAGGATCTTTGACATCTCCGATGTTAATTAAATTCGAACGATTCTTTGAATTACCGAACCTATACGAGATTAAAGCAGGCGGCCATTTCCGACGAATGATAATCACTTACCTGCCACGTTTTCGAGATGGCCACGTCGTAGGTGGGCGGCGGAGATACCATAGAAGGAATAGCGTAAACGGGTTGCGATCTACTTTGCGCGTTTAATTGACTATTTCCGGTTTCGTTGGCGCTCGCGTTCGGCGTGTCTGGAATGGTGGCGTACAGCGCCTCCGGTATAGCGTTCTCCCGAATCCCGCCGAGTATGCTGGAGCCAGAATCTGCAACCAGACGTTACGTACAGTCGGAAAAAGTTCGAAGAGAAATTTTCCAGGTCGCGGAAGAATCGCGAATCTTTGTCAGTCTAGTCAATCCAATCGTTCCTTTCAACTTCTGCGATGAGCCACGCGAAATTGATTTCTTTTCGGAACTCCTTAATGAATTTCCCGCGCGCAACTCGCAAGCGTCCCGAAATTCGGGAACTATGAAAGCTGTTGCGGATTCCGCGATTCGAGTGTGAAAATTATAATCTCTCGAAACTCGTGAATTATGGAGGAGCAGACACGGAATCGCGACAGGGCCGCATTTACATTTTTGGGAGTGCTCGCCAATCTGCGAGTAATTTTCTGCTCTCGCAAATATCGCGAAAACTACGTCCTAAACGAAATTGTTAGTCCCAATAACGCGGTTCGATACAATCACGAAGACCGTGAAATCGTTGGGAAAAAATAAATATCTTATTTGCGAGGAGCAAAGCTTTTAACTCGGTGCTACAGGGAATAAGGTCTCAGCTTACGTCTAATGCACCTCCTGGTAAACACGGCCCTGGATTGCCGAGTTATCGACATCCATAATTCAATGATCAAAATTTTGGCTGGCAACCGACCTATATAAGTATAGTGCGACTCCGCTCTGTCTGCGCTGCGGGTCCTCCTCGAGTGATTCAATCGCTTCTCGTGTTTGCTGCTTTTCGTGACCGGTCTGGTTTGTTCCGTCACCGAGCTGCAGCTTCCTGTCTCGGAGCCCCTGCTCTTCCCACGGGCGTCGTCTTGCTGTTTCTTGGCAGACCGCCCGTCCGACTTGCTGCCCTTCGACTTCGGTATTCTGATCGTGAGCTTCCTCGAGGACAGGGCGCCGTTTCGCGATTTTGGCAGGTCCACCGCCATTCCGCAGCCGCACACTGGCGCGTTTTCGTTAGGCATTCTGCAAAAACACGTCAAATCTCTGTGAAATACGGGCGACCAACGCTCTTGCCTGGAAACAGAACGGGATATGAGTTTAAAAGACGAAGGGAATACATCAAGCCTGAACGGGTGCATATCGAGCGAGAGTCTCTTGGCACGGTCTAGCCACGAGCGGGCCTAAGTTTACGGTAGCCACTTAACGATGAAAGCTTGGCAATGTCTCGGATGTGTTCCACGAATGCGTCGACTATCCGAGCTAATTTAATTAAGTACCAAGTCACGGTAACCCAAGTTAGGTCTCCCGATATTTGGCAGACGTGACGTCAGCGACGAGGTCCGCACGCGAGGTAGTCATCCCGATATGTCAGCAGTGGTTTCCCAAATATCGCTTGCGAGGAAACCCAACTAATATCACCACCATCTTCAAATAAAATCAAAAGGAGGGATTTTTAAGGTCCAGTTGTCTCGAGTGTCCCCTGTCACCTGAACCCCGAAGCAAATGCCACGCTACGTGGACCCGCGGAGCACGGGTCCACTTATCGGAACAATTTGGCAGCGTTAATCGAGGAAAATCGCACGAGTAAGGGCCTAAGCACGCCGAAATCCCCTCCTAAAGAGATTACCGGCGGAATTAATCGTAACCACGAGTGGCAGCGAGTCGGATCGCGGATCAGCCAGGTCGAAGCTAAACGGCATTTCCCTGGAAGCGGTATCGTCCAACGAATGCCTGACATCGATACCAGGGGCTCGGTAATGCCGGCTCGATAAACGGCCGGAATAACACTAGGCGTTTCACGGAATCGCGTTATCCAGCCTACGATCAGAGCGCCATTAATAACAAGCCCATAATCGCCCCTAATTGAAGTCACTGAGCAACGTTTCGCCCCTGACGAGCAGATGTCCGCCGTTCGATGCTCCGTGAACCCGATTAGACCAACTAGAAGATGGCAGGGCTATTCTCTTGTGGGAGACGAGGGCTGCTCGGAGAGCCAAGACTGGGTCATGGCGTATTGTGCGATATAATAAGGAGAAGAGCGTTGTCGCTGGGGTATGAAGAGCAACTGCGATAGAATTTATGGTAAACGATCGTGGAATTGAGTGTCTCCTAATACTCCTTCGAGAAATATTGGTTGCTCTTTTTACACTATTATCGTGGCCCTTCTGTACTCCATGGGAGAGGAATTCGATGGAATTTAGGAGATTTCTCTTCGCTAAATATCCTAGTGCTACGTCCCTTGACCTGGTCTCCGCTGCCTCTGCCTGGAAGCCATATTGACGAGTCCACTATCAAATCACTGACTAGATGCGTCTCCCTTCAGAATCATACGCGTGCTAAGGGATTCGATGGAATTCGGGAGACTTCGCTTCGCTGAATATCCTGGTCCTACGTCCCTTGACCTGGTCTCCGCTGTCTCTGCCTGGAAGCCTTATCGACGAGTCCACTGTCAAATCTCTAATTAGATGCATTGCTCTCCAGAATCATACGCGTGGTAAGGGATTCGATGGAATTCGGGAGACTTCGCTTCGCTGAATATCCTGGTCCTACATTCCTTGACCAGGTCTCCACTGCTTCTGCCTGGAAGCCTTATCGACGAGTCCACTGTCAACTCTATGCCTAGGTGCATCGTGGTACGATTGAGAATACGCGTGGTGCTATTTCAATGTCAGATTGAGATGTCAGGAAATTGGAAATATTTCGGTACTGTGTTGATCATTTTGTATTAATTCTTGGGTTTGGTATCTCTCATCTCGTGTCAGTCGATCGATGTTAATCTTCTACGAAACGTGCTATTAAATGATACACTGACCGTTTTGATCTACACTGCAAAAGTGTGAGGGTATTAAATTTGTACGTGTAAGTTGCGATATGTATTTATAAGGTGCTCGAGGATATCGAGCCTTTGCCATAAACTCGATCTTACTCGACGTTCTCGACGTTAATCGTTTCCCAGCTGCAGTCGGAGACGAGGCAGGGTCGCAGACGATATAATGAATCGATAATCGTCCCCGCGGAGAGGTCTGGGAATGTCTGTCTTGTTCGGTTAATTATTCGATTCCCCGTGAACGCTCGATCCTTTTTAGCTCGCGACAGGGGGTGGCTCGATGTTCGCTCTGGGGGTGCTTTGATCTACAGGCAGATTTAAAGGCGTGATTTACTGGAATCCGGAAAGGAGCCGCTCTCTTTCCTTCTGCAGGCCTTTGTCCCGAACTGCCTCGCCGGAACAATGGCTTCGATCCTTTTACAACGCTCCGGGCCTCACCCCTTCCCTCGTCTTTTTTCCCTTAATTTGTCTTTGAACGCAGGGATTCGTCGCGGCGTCGAAGCGTTATCGCGCGTTCTCCAGGCCTCTGTTCGCAGCGAAAATATTCCGTTCGTAATCTCAAACCGTGACGAGGCGAGACGAGTCAGCCAGAAATTTCGAGGCCCGAGCTGCGAGCGAATTTTATTCCTCTTCGACCGAATCGAGTCGAACCGGAACACGAACGGTGCTATTCCTTCTTTAATCGCCCGGTACTATTCCTTGGTTACACTTCGAAAGCTCCGAGAAAGGCAGAAGAAATTTCACCGCCACTCTTTCGCGCGCAAATTTCATTCCCCTCGCTCGTCCAGGGTACATAAAGACCTCTAGCGGCTTTGGAGAAAGGACGTTTCGGTAGCTACGACGTCGAATACATCCTTCGCCGGTGGCACAATCCAATTTTCGTATCGTCGTCGATTCGAAAAGGATACACCTCTCTTCCTCCCCTGTTCGATACCCTCTTCCACCCTCTCCCGAGAGATTAGAAGGGAGTTACACGGGCTACGCGCCCATCCTCCGGCGTCCCAGTCCATCGTTTCTTAGCCCATTTCAACGGAAAACTGGATTTCAAACTCGTTCGCGAGTACTTTGGGCTTTGAGCCTGTTTCGCAGCTTCGATAATACTCCACGTGCTTTGTTCTTGCCTGGCACACGCTTTTTCCGCCCCTGGCAAGGGACTAGGTTTCCTAACTTTCCTCTCCTGATCATAGGGCTATTAAACTTTCTCAAATTTTCACGAGACCCGATGTCTTTACCTCGAACGAGGATCGTCTGCCGATTCTTCGAAACGATGAATTTCATTCGGGGAAATCGGTTCGCGCGGTGCTCGGTGAATATCGTATCGCGAATTGACCGTAATTACTTTACCTTGTCGATCACATCGTGTTCCGCGGCGTCGGAACACTGGAAAATTAGGATTACATAATCGAAATCACGCACCATGTATTACAGTGAAAGCTATACGGAACAATAGGCGCCATTAGCTAACAACGTGCAATCAAACCTTCCCGGTGATAAAGCCGAAACAAATAAAACAAAGTCGGACCTATCGAATATCCGAACCCGAACCGAGCATCTGTGCTACAAAGCTGAATTAATGGCTTTCGACTCCTTCGTAAAGACACGAAATCGGGTATCGCGAATGGGAAATATAAAACCTGCGGTCGGATACTAAAATGCGCCGAAATCCAGGTACGTGCTTTTCCGTCTCTCTTCAACTGACATTCAAAAGATCGATTAAATCCAGAGATTAAATCGGATCGATACGCTCAGGAATTATAAAATCAATCCAACTAAAATATCTGGAATAACTACTATAAAATAAATAATTCGCATTTTAATTTAAGACACATTTAAAGCTAGCTATTTAACCCTTTGCACTCGAGAGGTGACTCTCAGTCACCATTTAATCAGATTCTAAAGATCGACGTTAATTAATATATCAAATTCAAAATTACCTAACGATGTGTGGAATGTCGAAGAAAAATAATTCTACGTCTTAATTTGCGTATGATTTCTCATTTACCATTTTAAAAATATCCTCGACTCTATGACAGCAAGTCTTCGAATTACTATTTTTCTGTAACGAAAAAGTCGTCAAGTGCAAAGGGTTAATATTATAACTTTCCACTTGCATAATCACTAGTCTGCGTATTAAAAAAGAATAATCGTAGTTCCATAAAATTCCATAAAATCGAACGTACGAATGAATGAGAAAGAAATACACAACTCATCGATCAGAGTCAAAATCAACAAATTTCGGAATTTTCCTTTCGAACCACGGAGAAGTCCGATACACATTCTATCACCCGCTATTACCACGGTTCTCCCGGAACAAAGATCGTATTCCCAAAGGAATGAATCGCCGAGCAAAGGAAACTTCCTCAAAGCCGCGAATCATCCTGGCGATTAAATAAAAGCATCTTGGCGTCTGGAACCGATGAAATTCATTTTCCGAGCGAAATAGGAGTGCCACTGGTGTAATATCGGTTACGAAGTTCGCTTAGTTTGCCGAATAGTGCGACAGTCGCGAGCCACGAGCAGAAGGGACAGGAGAAATCGCAACACGGGAATTAGATTACGCGGGACGCTGTTTAGTTGCAACTACGGGCGCGGTGGCGCGACTGAGTTATGGTTCACGGTGCCGTGGCGAGGGCCACGCTCGCCGCGACACCCGCGTCCTTTCGGTGTACATCGACGAATACACTGACCGATCAGCGAATCGTCTTACGTTGGAAGATACGGATAACACGTGGACTGTCTGTGCTAGAGAGATTAAGTCGAATCGCTGCGGTACTTTGTTCGGAAGTCGCTTTAAGCCTTCGGGGATTTCGAGGCTGAAGGAATTCTTCTGGCTGGAAGTTTCTCTGGCAGGTTCTAGCGTTTAATAGTTGCAGTTTTCTTCTTTACCCGGGTACCTTCTTTTTAAAGGAGATTAAGGAGTAAGCGGCAAAAGACGTGGGCGCTGCTCGCGTCGGAAGCTAAATCGAGTTCTCGGCGTTTCTGGAAACGAGCCGCCATAAATTACGGTTTCTCGGCTTAGCAGTGACAATTTACGATTTTTCCTTTTTTCCCTTTTTGCTTTATCTGGGTTAGCTTATAATTTTCCGCAAGGTCTCGGTGGAGCGTTTTGTCTCGTGCCTCGTGTTTAATCGGCGACCCTCCGGGTTTAATCGTTGAATCGTGATTAGAATTTCCGACGGTAATTCAATTCTGGCGA